CATATATTTCTGGGGGGAATAGGAAACGGTGAAGCCATTTGGAAAGCAGTTTGGCAGTTCTTCAAAAAATAAAACACAAAGTTACCATATGACCCAGCAATTCCACTCCTGGTTATTCACCCAAGAGAAATGAAAGCCTGTGTCCACACCAAACCTATATGAATTATTCAAATGCACAAAGCACCTACTCCCTTTGTAGGCCTTCTAGCACACCCAGGTGAACGATCTAAGAAGTTTCTCTGATAGAAGTAATCAGAATCGATTACTCCGCATTTAACTTCTTCAGGATGGAGGACTGAAGTCAGCATGGACTTTGGAGCCAGACCTGGAATCCAATCTAATTTATGTTGTTTGCCAGCTAGGAAAACAAATGGGAAAAATACTTATCCTGCATGGTTTCTTTCCCAGTCTGCTCTTCAAATACCAAAAGCCATAAAATCTTGTTATAATTTGTTAAATAGGATTCAGTCTCAGATGGAGGGATCCTAAACTTAAGCAGGAGACAGTCTAAATCACCTCATTGAACTCTTTGTTGTAAAGCCAATCAATAGATCACTTTATCCTTTGTAGACGAAGACTACATTTATTCATTTGTTACCTCTGAGAACAATAAAGAGAATATTATAACTAAAATGTTGGCTTCCTGATTAAGTGTTTTTTATTTATGATAATTAATAAAGACACATGGGCGCTTAAATCCATAGCTATAATTCTTAAACTCTAGAGCGTCTTTTTATTGTTTTTATTATAAAACGCTTAACTACACAAAGAAGTACAGAGAAGAAGATCACAAACCCTCCACTGCTCCGTTTTATGATGATTTTACTATGCTTGCCAGATTTCACTTAAAAAATAAACATTCCAAGCCTGTAGCTACAGAATTTCTACAACTAGTAAGCCAACACCAACTCGTTTAGAATATCAACCTAAATTATACTAAATGGAAAGTGAAAAATAGCTGTGGAGCTGAAATTAAAAATTCTAGTCTGTCCTTGGTAAGAAATGTAGTGGAAGATTACATCAGCATTGACTGGGGACTGTCCTAGGAGGGCTGGTTGTTGCCTCCTGGTTCACGTGTCCTTTCATGGTGTCTCCTTCTTCATCTGTGGTCCCTGCCATCCTACTCAGAGAACTCAAGACCCAATGGAAATCAGGCCACAGGCTGGGCCAGGTCAATTAGATTCTCTTCCTTTAGAGAATTTGAGTGTCAAGATACAGATATTCTAGTCTTTCCTGTACATCAACACTAGTTGTTATGAGAGCAAATCATAAAAGTAAAATGCACATCTCACCTCCATGCTTTAGAAATCTGTTGCCTGTTTTTGAACCTCCTTAGCCTAAGACAATCTTGACTAATGGTCTCTGTCATTCCCTTCTCTTCAACTGGCACCCAACACTCTAATCACTATGGGGTAGATGAAAGATGACCTCAAATTTTCTCCCAGTCCTCCCATTGAGAGGTGGAATGCCCCTGAGAGGGCTCCTCGGCTTGAATCTGGGGAGGCCCTGTGACTTGCTTTAATTCAGCACAAGGTAGAGAAAACAGAGCTGTGTGACCTCTGAGTCTGCGGCTTCTGCATGCATGCAGTACTCCCTCTTGGATCCCAGTCGCCATGCTGTGAGAAACCCAAGCCCTGTACGGAGGTCACGTGGAGAGGATCCTTGATGCTCAGGTCAACAGCCTCAAGCTGAACTGCCAGCTGCCAGCCATGTGAGTGAGTCATTTTGGACACTTCTAGCCAGTTGGTCCTCCGGATGACTACAGCCCCAGCCAATACCACTTTGGAGCAGAACTGCCTTATAGAGCTCAGTGAATCAGAGATCACGAGAGACGATAAAACACTGCAGTGGTTTCCCATATATGTATCTCCTATTATTAATCTTATCTCCGTACCTTTGTCACAATTAATGAGCCAATACTGACACATTAGTATTAGCTAAAATCCATACCTTATTCAGATTTTCTCTTTTCTTACCTAATATTCTTATTCTTTTCCGAGATCTCATCCAGGATATTGCATTACATTTCATCGTCACGTCTCCTTAGGCTCCTTTTGGCTATGATGGTTTCTTAGACATATCTTGTTTTCCCTTGACAGTTCTGAGGGTAGTCCTGGTCAGGTGTTTTGTAGGACATCCCTCTATCGGGATCTGCCTCATGTCTCTCTCAGGATTAGGGTGGCGTAATGGGTTTGGGGGAAGAAGACCACTGAAGTAAGGTGCCATTTCAGCACATCACATCAAAGGTCCATCCTATCTATAACCATGACTTATTCTGTCGATGCAGACCTTGACCACCTGGCCGAGATGCTGCTGGTCAGGCTCCCCACTGTGTGAAGCCACACTTGAGGAAGGGGAAGTTATGTTCCGCATCCTTGAGGGTGAAGTAATCTACATAAATGAATCAGAATTCTTCTGCCCAGGAGATTGTAATGGTGGTTTTAAACCACTAATTTTTGGTGTGGTTTAATACACAGCAAGATATCTAAAAAACACACTCAAACCTTTTCACTGTCTCCTATTAGACTTCATGAACAGTTACATGTGCTACGTAGGGTTCACTCTACTTAAGTGCCCTTCCTATTCCTATCCACCACTCACCAACCCACAAAAACAAAGAACCTCTTATTTTTCCAACAAAACCCAAGTGCTACCTCCTCTATCGTGAAGCTTCCTTCCAGAAGGAATTCATTGCTCTGACCCAGCTGCCAATACCACAGTTAACACCACTATCGTCACCCTTATGCTATGGTTAACTCCCTCAACAAGACCAGAGGTTCCCAACATGCAGAGACCCTGCCTTATGTAACTCTGCATGCCACCTAGGACATCAGCACATACCTGGCATCCCATAAGTGTTTGTGAATTAATTAATTAAGTGACTATAAATGTGTATCATTTTTTATAATACCTCATTTTATTTTTTTTTATTTTATTTTTTTTTTTAACGTTTATTTATTTTTGGGACAGAGAGAGACAGAGCATGAACGGGGGAGGGGCAGAGAGGGAGACACAGAATCGGAAACAGGCTCCAGGCTCCGAGCCATCCGCCGAGAGCCTGACGCGGGGCTCGAACTCCCGGACCGCGAGATCGTGACCTGGCCGAAGTCGGACGCTTAACCGACTGCGCCACCCAGGCGCCCCATATAATACCTCATTTTAAAAGAATAAAAGAGAAAACATAAATAAACAGCTATAGCCCAGGATGTGTCTGTAAATCCACACTAGAACTGGAATCTCCCTAGTAATGCACAGCTCCACTGTATAATATGGACTGGGCACTAAGAAAACTGATCACTGCATTCAATGAGTCAAAGCCACATATAACAGACAAAATAGTATCTGCTTTCAGATCTGTGTGACAACATGGGCACATAAATACTAAATAAATTAGATCAGATGAGTCTCTTTCTAAGGGAATCAGGACAATGAAGTACATTTCCTCGCCTTTGGATTTCTTGATATGTCATCAAAGACTTTTTACAGAACATAATTTTCATATTTAACTTCTAAAGTGTGGAACAATAAGACAGATTCATGGGTAACTGTGTTAGCGCTATTCAATTTTCTCTCTTACGTACACAGCAGGGAAATTAAGTAAGCCCTGAAGTGGTCCTTGGGAAAAATATAAGAAATAGTCACTGTGCCTCCAAAGGATTCAAGGGCTTCTGAAGTTTTACATTAATAATAACTCTGTCAACTTGTCTTCTTTCAGTATTTACAATAGCGGCTTTTACTAAATCAGCTGAAGTCTCTGCAAGAAAGCGATTAGGTCATACAAAATTGCATTCTAGTGACCAGAGGGAAAAGCCCTCCCACAGAAGGGTACCAGGAGCACTGGCAGCAACAGAAAGACTCCCCTCAGGAAGGTCCAGGGCAGCAGATGAAGCGATAGGTGCTGGGCACTGTCCAGGACACAGGGTGAGATACCCTTGGTGTGCCCAGGAAGGACTAGGGACAATTTTGAAAGGAGAAAGACATGAAGGTGATACTGACAGTCCCACGTGACCAGGTAGAGAATGAGTCAGGATATGGAGTCAAACACAGAGATATACATAAACACATGGTGACATTCAAGCCCTAGTTTGAAAAACCAAACCTAACAAATTATTGTTTAAACATTTATAATAAAAACTGTCTATGGGGCGCCTGGGTGGCTCAGTTGGTTAAGCGTCCCACTTCGGCCAGGTCATGATCTCACGGTTTGTGAGTTCGAGCCCCACATCAGGCTCTACGCTGACAGCTCGGAGCCTGGAGCCTGCTTCAGATTCGGTGTCTCCCTCTCTCTCTGCCCTTCCCCCACTCGTGCTCTGTCTCTGTCCCTCTCTTTCTCTCTCTCTCAAAAAATGAATAAACGTGGGGCGCCTGGGTGGCGCAGTCGGTTAAGCGTCCGACTTCAGCCAGGTCACGATCTCGCGGTCCGTGAGTTCGAGCCCCGTGTCGGGCTCTGGGCTGATGGCTCAGAGCCTGGAGCCTGCTTCTGATGCTGTGTCTCCCTCTCTCTCTGCCCCTCCCCCGTTCATGCTCTGTCTCTCTCTGTCCCCAAAAAAATAAATAAATAAATAAACGTTAAAAAAATGAATAAACGTTAAAAAAATTTTTTAAAAACTGTCTAAATAATTTAAAAATAACTGTCTAAATAATGTCTCTGTGAGGCAGGAATAAGGGACAGGCTTTTACTTTTTACCTCAAATACTTCTGACTCATTTTAATTTTTAAAATAAGAATACAGAACTTGCACAATAAAATGTTAAAAGATAAAGTGCTACCGTTGTACAAATGAAGCATAAAGTTCTCTGAGTTCAGTAAAATTTGTTTTAAATTGCTCATGGGGCATAACAAAAATGGAGATCAAAAAGAAAAAAAATCTTCTCAACCTTAGGTTAGGTTTGAATCTAAATCAAGCTAATTCCTAAATTCACCTAAAACAAAACACCCACTCCTCTGCCTCTGTTTTTAATTCCTACTCCAACCGTTTGCATCTTTAGTAGTCCACTGACCTTGGAACTGCTTTCTTCCGACACTTCTCCCTCATTGGTTTGCATTGGAACAGACTCTGTGCAAAACTCTGCAGAAACACACAAATACCGCCTGGAAGAGGTAAGAAGAGAAAAAAAAAATAAGGAATTCAGTGAAAAAATCGGTTTTTCAAAGATTAGATTGAAATTGTATCACCAAGACCATAGATACAGTGAAGTGATGAGCGTAAGTAACACACGTGCGTGTGCGTGTAAGTACACCCATGCATCTTCGGTAAGAAAGAAAGCAGAGAGGTAAGAGGGAATTTTCACCATCTTACGGTAGGATAGTTAGGAAAGGTTTAAGGCACTGGGGTGTTACACAGTTCTAGATTTCTTTCCTCTTTTTTCTTGACTTTTGGCAGACGTGATAGTGAAATCTTCAGCAATTCATACAGCACAAATAGTGACCGGAGAGAAAGGACGTCCACCTAAGAAGTGGGCCCGTCTGCACAGCATTATAAGCCGTTGAGATTGTCCAGGTTTCCTGGGTTTATAGTTTACGTTCAATATTCATGGTATATATATTTAAAAAACTTTTAATGTTTATTTATTTTTGAGAGAGAGACAGAGTGTGAGCAGTGGAGGGGCAGACAGAGAAGGAGACACAGAATCTGAAGCAGGTTCCAGGCTCCCAGCTGTCAGCACAGAGCCAGACTGGACTTGAACTCACAAACCGTGAGATCATGATCTAAGCTGAAGTCGGACGTTTAACCGACTGAGCCACCCAGGCGCCCCTCGCTGTATTTTATAACTGAAATAAGGGTACACGCTAATGGTTGATCCCACTTTTTTATTTTAAGAGAATTTGCTTAATAAGCTAAATATCAGTTAATTTACTTTTACATGAGAATGGGCTATCCTAGGGCAAGACAATAAAAAGTACTAATTTTTCCCCTAAGAATAAAATGAATCATTGGTTAAAATTTTATGAATTAAAATGTACCAAAAGGAAACTACTAAAAGCATATGTAACATTCAAATTAATTCATTAAATATGTAATTACTGAACAATAATTACTCAAACTGACACAAATCTCCATGTAATACAGGTAACTAATAATTTAAAACCTCTCTAATACTTTAAAAGGTTCATAGCTACAAAATCTAAAAGCTAGAAAGAAGCTTGGCACGTACTATCTTTTGTGTGGGCAGAGAATCTCTTGATAAACGCAGCACCTTGGGAGGCAGGTAATGTGGTTCTGGTGTGGGAATCTGTTTCCTCATCTGTTGGGTGGGAGAAGAGCATCAAAAAATCTACTGTGCTCACCTAATGGGGTTTTTGGGGAACCGATGTGTATTTATGGGACATGAAATGAACCGTAAAATTGGTACAGTGGAAGGTCTGCTAATCATCCCCCCTCACTCACTCCAGACGAACTGACGCTGCCCATTCCTTGCGGGAAACACATGCTTCCAGCAAGTGAAACAGGCTTTCTTGAGCTGGTTTTGCCCCTCATCTGTTAATGACAGTTGTGCGGAAACAAACTTATTCTTTCCATGAAAATTAAATTAATAGCACCAGAAACACTCAGTAACCTACCTAGAAAGATGTCGTATGCAAATTGCCTCACAAATGTCCTTAAGTGCTCATTCTGCTTTACAGAAATAGACTGTATCTCATAGATGATACATTACAAGCACAGCTGATGAAAAACACCCAATGATTTCTGTGCCATTTCCATTTTAATGTGCTGGAAAAGAGGAACCCTCTTTCGCTTCTCCTGAGCTTTCCCTCTGGCTCCTCTCTCCACCTTCCACAAGTCCCATCCCAATGGATCTTTTCTAATGTCAGAAGGAGAAACAAGGCCTGTGAGGTCAGCCCTTCTCTCTTCCTTTTGGAAGCCAGCTGCCCCTAAGGAGCATGCATTTTCCTCTGTGCTAGTTCCCCTAAATGAAGGCCCCTCACAATTGCCTGGGACTAGGTAAGCCTGTTCAGTGCTAGGAACTTCACTTGCCTGTAGATGTAAGCCACATTCCCCACTATAGCTTTATTAGTAATAAATGCCCCACTCTTTTATCTGATTTCTCAATTGATACAGAACTCAGCCAAGGGAAAAAGAGTGCTATTTACTGGGTCTCTCAAAGACCATACTATCTGGTGCATGGGACTAGAGTTTTGGTAAACACACATGAAGGGAAATTGGAGGAGTGAAATAAAATGCATATGGAATTTCTAAGGCTTCTGTTGGGTCAGGACTTCGGGCCTTGGTCTTTAGTGAGAGAGCAACATGCTTTACCCTTGTAGAGGTTGCATCAGGCCACACAAGTTTTTACTGTCAAATACCAGGTTTACACTACTGAGGCTGAATTAGAAGCTTACAAACCACCAGCCACGCTGTATTTTGACATTAGTGGTGACTGTAGTTATGGTAACTTTGTCTTCAGGTAAGTGGCTGTTTCTATAGAGACGACACGGCATACACCAGGCATGTGGGCTTTGCTGGCGGCAGCAAAGAAATGGGCCACGGTCAGTCGTGGCGGTGGTGGCGGTAGTGGCGGGCGGCGGCGACGGTACTGAAAAGCTCATCGAAATGTCAGCCGTGCAAGCGGCCTCAGCCTACATCGGCCACTCTGGCCTAGCGAGCAAATGCCAGCCGTGCTGGCCTCAGCAAAGGGAATAGAGCATTAGCAGGCTTGGGTGGCCTCAAAGTACAGAAGGCTGCTGCCTGACCTTGAATTATGCAGGCACAGCTTTTCCTAAGCAGGCATGGCTGAGGCAAAGATTAGACTTTAGGGAAAAGAGACTTTCTTCATACAGGCCTTTTAGATATTAACGAGGGGAACAATTATTTGCTGTGCATAAGCTGCGAGGCAGCTGAATTTCACACAGCGCATGTGCTACGAAACCAGTGAGGTTCTACGTTTGAATTGTTTGTGCTCGGCTTACACAGGCAATGGAAATGAAGAGGTTTCTCACTATACTCCTAAAAGGCAGGAAGGCAGGGAACTTCTAGAGGGAGGGAGGGAACTTGGTACCTGGGGCTGCCACTACTATAAATCCCTAAATATTGCAAAAAGAAGGAGATGCTTCAAGGATTAATCTTTAAAGCAGAAGACCGTGTACATTGGTTGGGTTTTTTCCAGACATAGGAAAGGCCCAGTTCCAAATTTCACCTCCTGCTGGCAGAGTTTTCCAAATCGGGTGGAAGTGTCCACGTCATGGATGGCGCACACTGGCATGGGCTAACTGGATACCTTGGAGAGGCTCAAACAAGAGGACCTCAGCCGTCTTCCCTCCCTCAGTAAGGCAGGTGGAGATCAAAGAACCTTAGAGGTTCTTTATCATCCAGTATCGCCTGGGATATTCACTACTTTTGCCTACGAAATCACTTTCCCATCTTTTCCAGACTTCAAATTGATTCTCAGATCCCTCCCTCGGATGCCACCGTGGCTTTGCGACAGCCTTTAGTAAGACTGAGTACTGCATTCTGGGAATATAATTTGATCAGGAATTATTGCTCCTGAGCAGGACAGTGCTTTCTTAACTGGGTGGCTGTGGGGACAGTGCTGAAACAATTTTGTTGACCCTTGGAGTTGATGTTAATTTATATACTGTTCTGATCCATTTTAGGGTACCTGGGGGCAAAATCTATTTGGCTCATCAATTTTGCCCAAGAGAATACCCGAGAGAAGAGTGGGTGGTAGTGGGGGGTTGTCCTCTTGAAAGTGGGAGCAGGACTGTCTTGAGACCCCCTCTGCCCTAGAGGGGAGGGACACACCTCACAAGACCTGGATTATACTTCAGACCAACGCATGAGGAGACAAGAGCCAACATGGGTTAGGGGAGGAAAACTTGCTGGCTCTCAATGTTTCCTTCCATGTGGGGCAATATCCCTTTACTACTGTTGGCCTTATATCCCTAACGCAGGCTGTCAGGGTGAAGTGACTTGTCCAGTCATTGAGTCTGGAAGGGAGACTGGGCGTGCCCCTCCTCCAGCCCTTTTCCAGTGGGGGCCTTAGTTTTGCTCTGCTCCTCCCTTCTTCTAGGAGGCAGGTCTATCCCTGATAGTGCTGCTGGGTAAAGAAACCTGTTAAGTTCCAGAGCTGAGTATTAGAAAACCGACTTGCTGTTAGAAACGAGCCAGTTCTATGTCAACTTTATTAGTAATAGAAGTGAAAATTTGATCTCCACCTGCCTTACTCCCTCACCCTCTATGTCTGTGGTTTAGAACTTAGGCAGTGGAGAGAATGTTTTTTATCAGGTCCCTTCAATTCCAACCAATATCTGGAACTTCTCCGCTTCAGAACCTCTCCTCTGCATCAGTCTGATTTTCCCAACTGTCCCATTACCATAACATGAATAGCAGACTTTTACTTCATAAACTTTTCAGCTCTATTTCTAGCTACTCCCCGTGCACCCACTATACCACTTCACTCTGGAAAATCTTCCTATTCTCGGCACACAACTTGCTAACTTAATTTCTATCTATGCAGTCCACACCACATTTGAAAGCCCTTCCCCTCACTGCCAATCAGCCTCTCTATCCTCCTAGCATCCAATTTTTATTTCGAAAAATCTTTCCTGATTAACACCATGTATCTGTCTACTTACTATATGTCATATCAACACCTATTTTTCTATTTGTTCTTTCTTTAATTTACTCTGTGTGCGTGTGTGAGTGTGTGTGCGTGTGTGTGTGTGTGTGCGTGCGTGGTTTTAGAACTATTCTTAATATTTTTAAGGTGTTTCTTGAAAAAGCCTTGGTGACATTCTTGTTTGAAGCCAAGGCTTATAGTCGTGTCTAACGGTCTACTTGAGTTTTACTGCCCTTTTGACAAAATGGAGGGAAAATAAAGAAAGCAATGTGGAAGTATATGGCTGAGTTAGGGGTTCCACTTGTGAAGTGACAAAGGGGCCAAGTGTATCAGTGTTACCAGACTGATGAAAAGTCAAGGCAAAGTCCACTTGTGTGAAAAGGTCCTGGAGGGGGCGTACAAGTGGTAGTAAAGTTGTCAAAGATGACGTGACAACATAAGCATTTGATTTCTGCTTCAGCACATGATTCCGCCTCAGAGCTATCACCAGCTTGCCATCCATGGTAAGTGACCGACGGTCATGACCTGGCAGTGCTTCAGCGCACGTGGGACAGGACTCGACAAGTGTTAATGACCAGATATGAGTAAAACCATACATCACACAGCATCTGCGCCAGGTCTTCTCTAAAAGTTGGCAAATATGTTAATGTTTTCAAGGCCCTCCGGGATCCAGCCCTCACCTGTGTCTCCCAGTGTCGTGGGCCAGACCTCTTCTTCCCTTTGTTCCAGCCGTAATGAACTACTTACAGCTTCACGAATATGCCAGATTGTTTCTGGTTTCCATTGTTCTGCTTGTACCACTCCCTCTGCCTTTGTCTCCCCGGGTGCCGCCAGAGAATACCTACTCTCATCACTCAAGACTCAGCTTTTACAAAGTGTTTCCGGATCCACCACCAGGCAGAACTGGTGATTCCTTCCTCAGTGTCCCCAGCGGATCTTGTCTGAAATCTAGTACGTGATCTATAACATGCCACTGACTTTACTTCCTTACATAGATGCCTCCCTTAATAGACTGTCAACCCTCTGACACCAGATACTGTATCTCATTAATGTCTGTATACACAGTTTGATTAAAACTGTATACCTGGAATTTAATAGACACTCAATATATTTCTATGTAGGTGTGACTGAATCAACTAAAGTCCTTTTTATTTAAATTGCAATAGATATCAATTCAATAAATATCTACTGGGTCCCTACCACATGCCACCCAGGGCTCAGCTGGAGTGGTGTAGCAGAATGAGCTTTGGCTTTGAAGGAGCAAAATCAGTATTCTTTGTCACTTATTAGCTGTGTAATCTTGGGCACTTAACTTTCTGATCTTCATTATTTTCATCCATAATACTGGTCAGGAGGAGGGGTTATAAGGATTAAATTAAATACTATACGCATAGCGCTCAGCAAGGTATCTAGGAGCAGCCAATAGGCACTGAAAAACCAGTTAGCTCCTTTCCAAGAAGTCTCAAAGGGTTTATAGACTAGTAAAGGAGGCAGAGACAAATAAATAACTCTACTGTAAAACCCTGCTTTATTACTGTAATAATAACAGGCCCTCCTAGAATACAGATGAAAAAGAAATTCTGCCCAGAGGGTCTGGGAGAAGGGGACAGTAGGAAAGATACAGGAAAGAAGAGTGGATAGCTTGTATTTTCCCCTCTTATTCCAAACTCCAACCAAAGAGAAGAGCATTGACCAAGGCACAAAGCCATGAAAGACAACTAAATATTTGGGAAATAGAAAATGGCCTAGTAAGGCCTACAGCAGATAGGGGCTCACTAAAAAGCAGCCAGAAACATTGATTGGAATTAGATTTTGAAGTGGTTTATAGGATGGTATCTGTAGCAACTGGGAGCCATGAGAGCTGTTTAAGCAAAGGAGTGACACAGGTAAATATATCATTTAGAAAGCTGGTTCTGGAAGTAAGTTGGACTACAGACCGGAGTAAGGACAGGCTAGAGGCAGACAAGCTAGGAATATGCTCACAGGAAACTGTGGGATTGCTAAATCCTAATAACAAATTCTAGCTTTATAAAAAGGATGAGGTACCGAATGTCAGTGTCAATCATTCAGACTGATGTGCTTTTTAAAGGGACCTACTGAAGTAGAAATGCAATCAGTTGATGTGATGATGTGGTGGCCACTTTAAAGACCCTCATGGAACAACCTGGGGAAGGAGTGATAACTTTTCTTCTTTTTAAGATGAAGACTCTCCCATCTCACTGCCAATACACAGATTTAAATTTTAAAAACTTACCTTCGACAGTATTCTGGGGCAACACAAGCCCGTGAAGATGAGTCTAGACTACATTCAGTGCAAAAAACCAAAACCCTGAAAAGAGAAAAAAATCACAATGAGCTGCGTGCTCACAGCAAGATGGCAGTGCACGGTTCTGAATTCAGGCAGCCCAGCACAAATCCGGGCTCTTCTGTCTACCACCACAGACTGCGGGGCCAGCGGCCTAGCCTCTCAAGCCTCAACTTCCTCATTCAACACTGAGAACAACAATAGCACTTTCCTCATAAGGTTCTTTAGAAGTTTAAATGGAATACATATAAAACACCTAGTATAGGGCAGGGCACCAACTGCACGCTTAATAAAGGCAAGTGGTTAGGAATGTGAACTGAGGGGCACCTGGGTGGCTCAGTCAGTGGAGCGTGCAACTCTTGATCTTGGGGTTGGGCTCGAGCCCTGCATTGGGTGTAAAGATTACTTAGAATAAAATTGAGGGGCGCCCGGGTGGCTCAGTCAGTTAAGCATCCAACTCTTGATCTCAGCTCAGGTCTTGATCTCCGGGTCGTGAGTGCAAGCCCCACACTGGGCTAAATGCTGGGCATAGAGCCTACTTAAAAACAAACAAAACAAACACACAAAATCTTTTTTTAAAAATGTGAACCGATACACTAAAACCTATATTAAACCTCTATCCTTTATTTTACCTTATTTGTTCTATCAGGAAAATGCCAAGTTGCCTTTCCAACTTCTCCATTTGACATGAGGGTGTCTCATAATCACTTCAGATTTAATGCATCCCAAAGAGCACTCTTCACTGCCCTCCCGGACTTCATTCTCCCATCTCCACTGTCTTATCCTCCACCCAGTTGCTTGGGTCAGAACCTCGGGTTCATCCTAGATTTCTTGCCCTATCCCAGCCCTCTCTCAGCTTGTCAGCAACCTGTCACTTCTGATTCACAGTATGTGAATTCTTCTTTCCCACTGCCATCATCATCCCTCACTTGTGGAGGCCTCTTAGCTGGTCTCCTGCCTCTACTCTTGCTCCTCCCCAGTGCGTCCGTTCCCAGTTAATGGCTGGAATGGCCTCTTCAAAATCAAATCAGATCATAGCAAGTTGCTAATAAATGCAAGGAAAATTGTGTTTATTTCATGATGGAATGTCTCTCTCTTTACATATGAAATACACACTCACATGTGAACATACAGATACATGAAATGAAAGCCACTTAATATTAGACATTTAGAGGTCCCAAGGCAGTCCCTTCCTTTTACAGTGGCAGAAACAAATACCAGAAGGAGATCCTGCTTAAGGTTGGACTTCTGTGTGTGTGCAAAAGTGGCCAAAACAAGGCCGCACAAGCCCAACAGAAACTCGCCTGTGATTAGAACCCGCACTGCTGTCTGAAAGTCTGTCACTATTTGGAAGTTGTGCCCTTGTCTCATGATCAAGAAACTTAATGTTTCTGTCTGAGAACGTGCGTTCCATTTCCCAAGGCTGCAGATTATGAGGTACGGCTTTAGTCCCACATCATGCTGCAGTGTTTGAGAGTGTGCTTCAGGGAATCTTGAAAGCACCTTGCTGCCCTCTTATCTGTCATCACTCTCCCTTTGCTTATTTTTTTAACAGTGTTTGAATAAATAAATCCCAGATGGAATTGAGCTGTGGTGAGTATTGGTGATATTTTCATTATTAGCCCTATCCTTCTACTACAGACACTGTTGTCCCAGCAATCTTTCTTTCTAAAAAGCAAATGTGACCTCTGAATAGATCACTGCTCAAATTCAATCAATAACTACCCACTACCCTTAGGGCAAAATTGAAGATCTCTCTAGCCCCATCATATCCTTCATATCCTATTCATGGGAATTGCATGTGGTTCCCCTGCCCACAGCACATGCACTAATGTCTGCTGAGGGCCCTTACCCTGATTCTCATCCACTCCTCTTGCAAGATCTGCCTCAGGTATTATCTCCTGAAAGTTTTCTGTACCCTCCTTGGCTGCACAAAGTGTCCCTCCCCTAAGACGTACCATATAATATCAGTAGTGTCTGAGGGTCTGATTTCCACACTCAACAGGGGCTCCTTGACAACAAGGGCTCTCTGTGGTGACACATCTTTGAATTTGGTATCGAGCAGTTCAATAAACATAAGCTGAACTAAATCCTGACATGTTCCTGATAACTCAGCACGCCAGTGTAGAGCCTGGAGCCTTCCCATTAAACGGCACTGGGGAGAGTTGAAGAAACTGGCTGGAACTTCCCAGATGGGTCTGGCCCTCATGGAGGATAACAGCTATGTAGTTGTGTGTGACCCTCAGCACCTCAGAGATAGATTCGATTCTTTCATTTTTTTGTCAATTACAGACTATCAAGAGGACAATCCTAATTTTCAGTTCTCTGTTCTGATTAGTTTCTGCACAGGCTAAACATGACTTCTTTTCTAGACTCACCAGGTATCTAAATTCTGTACCAGCTTCACAAAGTAACCCATCATTACATATCTTGTTGCCAGACAAGTTAGAAGGATACGGCGGCCAGCTCAGTCTTTTGCTTGCTTGGTAGGCGGGCTCAGATGCTTGCTTATGTTCAGAGAGGGAAAAGGAGTTGAAGCACGGGAAGGGCAGACGAGGGAAACTGGGCAATTTTCAAGAACTCTGGAAACCAGTTTTTGCAGAACAGCTTCCTTACTTTCCCCACAGGGTTGTGAACCTCTGTATCAGATGCACTCGTACTCAAGATAAACATAACATTTGGCTCTGAAATCAACATTTTGAATTATCTAGTTGAAGTCATCTACAGCACTATTTTCCTTCTAAGGTATAAGCAATGGCAAATTCTTTCAAAAGTCATTTTGAAATGTTCAGAACTACACTATAATCCTACCACCGGATCATATATAGCCATCCGTACTATAAACTCTTAACTGAGTCACAAGTAACACTGAAACTATTTGAAGCACTCTGGTTTTCTCGGTCCTCTTGCGGAGCAGCCAAACTGACTTGAGATTCACACACAGTTGGGAAGATTCCATGGGTCCTGGACTAGATTACTGCCAGACCTGCTAAACTTCAAGAGCTCCTCCAAGCCCAGTGCCTAACCTTACTCATGGGACGTGATCAGACCTACATCTCTCCTAGGGAATATGCCAAGTTGAAAGACAGACGTATCCAATAAATTATATCCACTTTACTAGTACCACCTCTGACATGGCATAGTTTTAATTTTCAAATTTGATTACTCAGGCCGATCCTTTTAAATTTAATTCTCACTTAAAAAAATTCAAGTGATAGGGACAAGTCCCCTCTCCCACTACCCTTACCCAGGACTCACCACTGCTATCAGTTTAATTTCCGGGCATAATTCTGGGATGCAGATTATTATATACAGTTCACTCTGGAGTGAACATGGGTTTGAACTGCGTGGGTCCATTTCTATGTGGATTTTTTACAGGATAGTACTATAAATGTATTTTCTCTTCCTTATGATTTTCTTAAAAACATTTTCTTTCCTGGGACGCCTGGGTGGCTCAGTCAGTTAAGCATCCGACTTCAGCTCAGGTCATGATCTCACGGTTCGTGAGTTCGAGCCCCGCGTTGGGCTCTGTGCTGGCAGCTCGGAGCCTGGAGCCTGCTTCAGATTCTGTGTCTCCCTCACTCTCTGCCCCTCCCCTACTCGTGCTCTATTTCTCTGCCTCAAAAATAAATAAATATTTTTCAAAAATTTAAAAAAACATTTTCTCTACATTACTTTATTGTAAGAATACAGTATGTAATACATAAAACATACAAAACATGTATTAATTGACTACTTATACTATCGGTAAGGCTTCCAGTCACCAGTAGGCTATTAGTAGTTATGTTTGACGGGTGAGTCAAAAGTTCTAGGGGGATTTTCAACTGCACAGGGGGTCAGTCCCCGTAACCCCCGTATTGCTCAAGGGTCAGGCCTACTATAAACTTTTAACTGAGTCACAAGTCACACTGAAAACCTTGACGGCCCACGTCATTGGCAACTGGCCTAACTTCAAGCAAGATGTCCCGGAAGCAGCATCTTAAGTGAAGCAGCAGATGTGGGGGTGGAGCAAAACACCAGCAAGGGTGCTGGGAAGGTCTTCCCAGGAGGTGGGCACAGATGCCAGGAGAATCGGGGCAGACAGGAGGGTACCATACGTTCAGCTCTGTAAGTGGGGCACCCAGCCCAAGTGGGCCAGAAGGAACCTATTTAATTAAGTAACAAATAATAGTATCAAAAGCCCAAGCAGCACAGGTGGAGGTAACTCTGCTGCAGGCAGATGAGTCTATTTAGCTGCCAATACACAAGTGTTAACGATTGTTCCAAGATCTGGAAATGTTACCTGTGCAGTTTCAGGTCACCTCTACCTAAGTTCAGCACTTTGGAAGTTCTGTAAAATATTCTAGTCCGCACATTCCTAAAAACATCCCCTTTAATCCTAAAATCTCTTCTAGCTTTTGTGTTCTCCTCCTCTTTCCTCTTCTAGTTAAGTTTCTTTTATTTTTTTCTTTTTAATTTTTTTTTCAACGTTTATTTATTTTTGGGACAGAGAGAGACAGAGCATGAACGGGGGAGGGGCAGAGAGAGAGGGAGACACAGAATCAGAAACAGGCTCCAGGCTCCGAGCCATCAGCCCAGAGCCTGACGCGGGGCTCGAACTCACGGACCGCGAGATCGTGACCCGGCTGAAGTCGGCCGCTCAACCGACTGCGCCACCCAGGCGCCCCTAGTTAAGTTTCTTTTAAAAGAAGTTTATATCTGTGGTCACAACACCTTTATCTCTCATTTACTTATTAATGGTTGTAATTTGAGATCTTTCCCTATCAATACCGTTATCAAATACAATGGATATTATTCAATTGTTTTGTTTTAACCTCTCTTTCCCATTTAAAAATCAGAATGATCTTTAAGTCTTATCATTTGGGTGTTCCTTTCCGATCTTGATATCAGGATATTGTAGATCCCAGGGCACCTGGCTGGCTCAGTCAGTGGAGCACACAACGCTTGATCTCAGGGCTGTGAGCTCGAGCCCCACGTTGGGTGTAGAGATTACTTAAAAGTAAAATCTTAAACAAAAGAAAAGA